AACTAACCAGGTGCCATCAATCTGAAGTCAAGCCGACTGAAAGAGTTGATGATGGTGAAGTGCAATCAAATATAGATATTAAAGCAGAAAAGGAGAAAGACCAAGATTTGAAGCCAATAATTGATTTTCTAAAAGCAAGTGTTTTGCGCCCTGCTTGGGCGAAGGTGTCTAGCTTAAGCCCTGTGACAAAGAACTATTTGGCACAATGGGACCAGTTAAAGCTTGAAGATGGTATTCTTCTCCAGAGATGGGAAAGTGACGACCTGGCACAGTTATACCGAGAAAGTTACGGGAAGTTGTGCTGTGTCAATCCCATGATAGTTTAACAGGAATACATCTCAGAGTTAAGAAGACATTGAGTCACCTACGATAGAGATTTAACTGGATAGGTATGAGGCAAGATGTGGAAGAATGATTCAGGACATGTTGTGCTGAAAGGGGATTCAAGCATAAGAGACGTGCTCCAATGAAGTTATATCAAGTTGGCGCACCAATGGAAAGAGTAGCTATTGACATTGCTGGTCCTTTGCTCCAAACTCATGCTGGAAACAGGTACATTTGTGTGGTTATAGATTATTTCACCAAGTGGTCGGAAGCATATGCAATACCAAATCAGGAAGCTACAAAAGTAGCTTCGGCTATTGGTGATTTCTTTCTCAGATTTGGTTTGTCATACGAACTGCATTCAAATCAAGGCCGTAATTTTGAATTAGCTGTGTTCCATGAATGCAGCAAGTTGTTTGGCATCCTAAAGACTAGGACAATGCCACTTCACCCACAGTCTGATGGGATGGTAGAAAAGTACAACTGGACACTGGGACAGAATTGGCAAAGTTTTGTAATAGCCACCAAGATGACTGGGATGTCTTACTCCCTCACCTGTTGATGGCCTATAGGACGGCAGAGCATGAAGCCACTTGATACACTCCAGCAAAGCTGATATTTGGTCGGTTAATTCGATTGCCAGTGGATCTGATAGCAGGACGCCCACCTTATGAAGAGTTGCCTAAAATGTGTCAAAGTTCGGGAAAGTGTTATCGGAAAGGATGGATGATATTCACCATCAAGTGCATTCAAACTTGAAAACGTCTGCTGATTCCATGAAGCTATGTTATGATAATAGATCATCTGAAGTCAGCTTTGTACCAGGAGACAAGATGTGGTTGTATAATCCCAGGAAGACCAAAGGGAAGTCTCCTAAGTTGTTTTCTCCATGGGAAGGCCCATATGACATAGTGGATCGTCTCTCAAACGTGACTTTCCTAATAAAATGTGGTCGGCGAGGTAAGCCAAAGGTGGTGCATGCCAACAGGCTTTGGCATTATCACGGTCCAGAACATTTCAGTTGGAAGGAATTGAACAACGGAACAAATGATGCTGCTGAAGACGTGTCACCTGAAAAAGCCACTGTCGAAGGAGAAACTCTACCCGGTTTTGAGAAGGGAAACAGTGAAGCCCTTGATGAAGTTACTACCACTGATGTGACTGTTACCGATAATAGGACATTTCCTGATGGAGCAGATGAACCCCATGTGAAGCAGAAGCCAACGAGATGGAGACCAGTACGAAAGAAGATACGTCCCGTAAAATTAAGAGACTTTGTTGAATTTTTATTTTGTGTTTGTAAATTCTATACATTTAATTAAGTTATTGTTAATTATCTATTGATTTAATTCAAGTAGCTATTGTTCGGAATGAACAATACTAAGGAAGGGGCAGTGTTACGACAGCGGAAGTCACGTGACGCTGGTAACACGTAGTGGGTATCTAATAGGTTCGTGAAGGCTCGAGTGTTTGCGAGACTTGCTGTATTCTAATATATAAGCCCAATAATCAAAGCGGGAGGGGATTAATCAGAACTGGAGTAGCAGATAGAGAGATTGAAGATATAGACACAGTTAATCGAGTGAAGTGAGCTGTAGTGACCGCAAATAAAGTGCGAGAGTCGTTGTGAATTATAGCGTGTGTTGAAGTTAAAATGACTGTGGAAATTAAGTGTATTGCAAAGTTGAATTGAGAAAGAATAAACTAGTTTTATTTAAGAAAGGACTTGTATTGCTGAAGTTTCTCGGAAAGAATTTCTACGGAAAATTAACAAAC